TATCTTTCGGTCTTCCTAATTAGATATAAGCAACTGCTTACCCACACCGTATAACTTCGGTTTGCTCCCTCACTGCAGCATTACTCTGTTCCATACACTAAGAAGTTTGAAGTGTGCTGGTTGCCACTCGCGCTGCTGCTCTGCTTGGAGGCGTCGTCGTCGACTGGAGGAGCGCCGAATCGTTGTCCTCGAGTTCGTGCACTTCAGGAAGAAGACGGCTCGAGGTGAGACGTCACGCATCCGTCGTGCGGAGGTAGAGGTGAGCGCCTCTCCACTTCCCCCATTTCCTCCGTCTCTGTCTGGTCTGATCCTTTTTATTTTGCAGCTTGACATATAGGTTAGTGTGTGTGCAGCAGCTCTAGAGGGACCAAGGTCGAGGTAGCTACTGCTCCTGTCGAGGCTAGCCTGCCGTAGGGACGAATCAGGTCCCTAGACCCTTATGAGCCCTAATTTTCATGGAGCAAGGTGCATCTTGCCGCTTTTGCTTTTGGTAAAAAGGAATCCCTATTGTTATGTTGGTAGCCTCTTTGCAAGTTTATTCTGCCTTTTTGACATTTTTTGTTCTATCTTGCTATGCATTGTATCATATTACAGCTGTGTGCTCAAACCAACTGAGCTTAATTCACATATATAGATATTTAAGAATGTGGGGATGATGCCCAATTGGCAAGGTTTGCAATATTGTAGGAACCATTTGGAGATGAGTTGTAGATATTAAGCTATGTAGGAGATGATTTTGAGGTAACAAGCCTTCAGCTTGCTTTCTGTTAACCTTTTTATGCATGGGTTCAGTTTGATGCAATCTAGGCATTGTTTGTTGTCGAATGGATTATTTTTTCCTACTAGGTAACATCTGATGCTTGGAATGCATTACTTCTGATGGCCCAGAAAAAAACTCTTTGTACATATTGTTTTGTTTAGATGCATACAAGATGCATGTTTATGCCTCATACCTGCTGATTTATATGACTGAGGAACTCTCTTTCTTCCTAGATGTGCCCATATGCTCTTCATTGATATAGCATCTTCTTACTTGTATATTATTCACATATAGCATCTCATTTCTTGGTTGATTGCTTATATATATATTCAACTTCTCTTTCCTGGCATTCACATATTACAAGCTAAATAAAGTTTGTCATTCCTTCTGGCCACTTATAGATGTAACTAGAAGCATGGATGATCTGTGATGCTGGCAATTTTCAGATTGCACCCATTTAATTATAGCACACTATATCACATTTGTGGTAAATTTAGAAAAGCTTGTGCGTACCCTTTTAGTAGTCAATATGGTTCAGATGCAGTATTTTTTATTTCCTTTTTTTGCTTTCAGCACACACATATGGCATTGAAGTTCTTTATCATGTATGTAGGCAGATTAGTTGTGTCACTTACTGATGCTCTTATGGTACACAGTACACTATTAGGGTGTTGGGCCCAGAAAAAGGAAGGTAATCCTCTTCCAAGGTTAATTTTGTGCCTACTTTATGTACATAACTCATGATTTGACAAATAGTTAAGTTTCCTATATTTTAGTATTTCTTTCTCTTTCTCTTTCCTATTTATGGTTCTGGAACAAAACTTCCATCCTTTTCTACAAAATTAGAAGAGAAAAAAATGTTGACAGATGATTATGATTGCTTATTTATTTTCTTGGTGTTAGATTACTAATGTTGAGAACTATAATTTTTATTGATGGTCGCTCGATGGCGCTGAGCACCATGTGAGGTCATTATAATTCATATATGAGTCAACATATTCTTCCGCTGCTAATTAGCAGTGTTTGGTCTATTTAATTTCAAACATATCTATTATTCGCCAAGGCTCCTGCCTACTTCCATAATGATGCTATCCCATAATTAGATTGGTGTCTAAAACTGAGCCCCTCTTAACTCCATTTCTGTGCAGTAAATGAAGCCCATAGGTGGAGGAATTTGGATGATCTGTAGTCAAAGGATACCATCAAGCAAGCGGACGCACAAGGAGGGTCGCCCCGGAGTAGAGGTAGAGGACGTTGCCAGCTGCATCTCTCTCTGACCTGAAGCCCACCTTGGCATGGATGTGATCAGCGTTGATCCCCAACATTGGCAAGCATTGTAAGTTCCCTCTTCTTATGTTTCTGGTACAAATATACCACATATATGTTCATATGCAGAAGATTAAGATAGACTATTATCGACGGTTATTTTACTTAGTTGTAGATACTGAATAGTTTGTTTACATTATGATAGTTTAAAAGAAGTATTATGGTGTAGTGCAGTAATAATTTTAATTTAAAATTGCTGACCTTGCATCATATTTTTGTTGTGTATGTGGGCACTGTGTTCAAGTTGATCTGGAACAATTTGAAGGGTTTCCTCGACACAAAATCTTAAGCCAAGGTTTACTTAAGCACCTCGAATTAAATGTATAGAAGTTTAAAATTGTAATGTTTCAGGTTCTTTGCCACATTATGTATGTTTTGTTATTTTTTTTAATAATTGGACCTATTTGCTATGTGGAACATGTAGCATTTACTTGATCATAATCTAATTCAACTTTTGACCACCGTCTTTTTGGCTCTTGGTTTCAACATATGCAGTATCGGTTAGTCATTGTCTTGACACGACATTTTAGGCAACGGCTCCAACTTCTTGAGCCATTCTCTATATATGAATGAGCCTCACCGTTAAATAAACGAACAATGTTTCCTCCATATATGAATGACACAATGACACTATGGATTTTTCCAGTCAACTGATCATCCTAAACCTCATCCTGTATTCAATACATTTATGTTCCATTGCTAACCTACGTTCATTTGTGATGTCTTCCTCAGGATGGAAATGTTCCTCGACACAATGACGAACATCAACCTAGGAACAACCTTCTTATTTTATTTTTTGTTGCCTCTACTGTATTGTTACTGCCACAAAGATTTACCTGGACATGGAGCCATCATGATGTGTTTAAAAATGGTTACATTATCCTTTTTCTAACCTGATGGTGTTAGAAACATCTTAGCATTCAAGCAGGTTTAGTTCATTGTTTATTAATTCCAATTATGTAAAAAATCACTGATCGTCGCTTGACAGAAAATATTTTGATATGCCATCATGTGCATGGGCGAAGAACCTGGATGTTATTTACATGTTTTGGATAATTGATGATTCTTTTGAATGAAAAAAATATCAGATAAAAGAAAGCATGTCATAATGCTTATAGATTGAAACTTTGGTTCCTTTTAAGAGGCCCACTTGGATCCTGCCTTTCCAGTCTGCATGAATCTTCCTAATTCGGCAAAGCCTTGAAACGTCGATGCTTTTGTGTGACCTAAATGATAACTTTTGCAACACCCAAAACTGTATGCTGCCTTATAGTTTCATGACGATGTTGAACTACATGTGAATGTTTCTTCCTTTTATTTTGTTATATCATGTTTGAATAGGTACGCTAAACTTGATCCTACTAAATTGAGCATTCACTACTTGGCCATAGCGTTGTGACCGGCACTCTTGCACCAAGGCGCGTTTCCGATCTAGTTAATAGTAAAGAAGGGAAAAGGGTGCGCTGAGGAAGGATGAGATGAGGCTAATTACGTAAGAAATAAAAAGAAAAAACGAGAAGCAATGTCACAGCAACAAGGAAGGAAAGGGATGGAAAGAGAAAGGAAAGAGGAGGCCTTCTATATGTATATGCGCCCTTGTAAATAAGGAAGTGGAAGAGGACGTGGAGTTTCTGTGCACGAGCACATATGAGCCCGTTATCCACAGCGTCGTGTAGCACATGGGGATCTGTGCGAGGTCGTTTTCCGTGGGAATACGGGAGCGTTGAAATTCCATTTTTTGTAGTGTGTACGTATGTGGTCGGCCTGGTATGTGGGCCAGGCAAGCGATCTCCGTCGTTTGTGTCCGTCGGCCGTCACCGGGATTTTCCTGATCCGTGGATCAGGACGCTCGATGTGGTCTTGGTCCATAGACCAGGAAATTTGCTTTTCCTCCTCAGGCCGGTACGCTGTTTCTGGAGGCGAGTTCGTGCCCAGGGGAAGGGCTCAATTTCTCGGCGATGGAGTTTCTCATGCAGCCAATTAGCAGGTGAGAGAGCCTTTGATTTGCGTGGTTCGGGAGGATTTGCCCCTAGGTCATTCCTTTGCGTTTTGACTAAATCTCTCTGTGATTCTTCTGTTTGTATGTGACGGGATCCAGAATCTCCTTGATTGAGGAGGTTGACGAGAGCACTACACCCATGGATCTGGTGGCGTGCGGCACAGGAGGTGTAGTTCCACTTGCCGCGGACGTCTCCGTGCCTGTCATGAACGCGGACGCCAGATCCGTGAGGGAGAAGCGGCTGGTGAGATCAGGCCTGAAGCGTCATCGCAGGCATCCGAGCTCTCCACCGGCAAGATGAGCCCGCAGACCCCTGGTTGGACTAAAAGGTGTGCGCCGCAATCAAGTAAGCTTTTTCTGCGCGTAAAATGCACAGTCAAAATGTATTTGCTAGGAAAATATGTACTGTGTTGATTTCGAAAATTTTGCTATGAAATATGGATTTGCTAGTAAACATACGACCCTCTTAATGTGCAATGTGCAGTGGAAAATTTCTGCTTTCTGTTGATGCTGAATATGTTCGAAACGAAAATGATTTGTTTGCAATCATCGGGCCTGTTAGTCTGTGGTCTGTACATGAAATTTTCTAGTTTGGAATGACCAAACCTTGGGAGTCGGTAGTCTGTAGCGAAATTCGATACTATTCTGATGATGGCTAATGTGTTTGAACTAGGGTGCATCGCTATAAATCATTACAGATGTAAGACTAGCAAGTACAGGCACATGCCATATATAACTGGGAACAGAAAAGCTATGGGATATTAGCTATCAGGGGAGGTAACAGAAAGTTAAAACAAGGGACTGTCTAATTGACATCTGACTGTTTTTCAATTCAAAAACAGTCAAATTTTCTGTCCAATCAACAGATTACACCTGTACTAGCAGGAAAATCACCAGAAAGCAAAAAACGAACCTCTAAACGGGTCGGGTAAACATCTTGCCCGTTCGACCTGGACAAACAAACCCCCTCGTCATCAGGGACCGCAAACAACTTGCAACCGCATTATGGAAACGCTGCGACAAGCGAATAGGAACCAGAGGGGACGGTTCTCCAAAAGAATTATCGACCTCTTTAACATTGGGCTCACCATTGGTAACATCGCCATTAGATTGAACACCAAGAGTGCGATTTAACTGAGCAAAAGTGGGTCTTTGAAAACCATTATCATCGGCCTTGGGTTCGCATTTCTTAATAAGACCAGCTACACAAAACACAAAACAAGAGGGTGAGTTACAGAAATTGTTTCAAAACAATATCAAACTATACCAAGAAAAATAAATAAACACACAAAGGACCTGAGGGCTCCAAAGTAGAACCAACAACAGGAATTGCACACCGCGTCGTTGAAGGGGATATACCTACAAAAAGAGAAGATACAAGCACAGGTGAAGAAAAAAATAAACAAGACACAAATAAAAAGGAAAATGAAGAATACAAGAATTTAAATAAGAGAAAAGAAAAGCTCGGACCTATAGAATGAGAAGGACTTTTTATAGAAGATAAATCCGCCACTGGAATTGCAGCTTCAACATTTGCCTCATTTACCACGCCCTGCAAAAGAAAATAAAAAAAGATAAAAATACTAAATCATCAAGCGAATATAAGACAAAAAAGAAGAAGCACTAAATACGAAGTGTATAATACCTCATCACACACTTTAGGAGCTGGAGATGAACTAGATAAAACTACTGGGTTGTGAAAACCCCCAACACTAACAACACCAGAAACAAAAGGAGAAGCTTCATTCAAATTGGGGATTTGCTGCTGGACTTCAGGAGATGATTTCTCAACAACAGTCTCACACTTCCTCTCATCAATGAAAGATTGAATAGAGACAGACTTGGCGCCTGCAAAAAGGATAAAGAAACAACATGCGAAAGGACAAAAAAGTAAGATCATACAAGCAAGAAATATATAAATCAGAAAATAATAACAAAACAGGAAAGAACTTCAAAAAGGAACTAACCAAAAGAGAACTTGTTGAAAGAATGACCCTCACTTGAATAAACTTTAGGTGTCGGGACAGATTTGGCATTTAGAGTAGAGAGTGATAAGCATTCTAGAACGTCAATTACAAGGGACTGTGACCATTGTACAAATAGCTTGGGCTTGTCTTTGTTCCTAGATTGAACAAGGTTTATGACTACTTGAGCAGCCTGAAAAAAGTTCAATAAAACAACACAATTAAAACAACCAAAGCAACAAAGTGGAAAAAGAGCAGAAAGTACAAACCCAAAACTACACTAACCTCAAACCCAAAACGAGCACCGAAGGATTTCTGCACATTCATTTCAAAAAGCATGTCACTGCAAAGGGGAACATCACCATCTTTGCTTGCTGAAGATTTCTCGATAGACTTCTAGAACGAGAAGGAGTAATTCCATATGAGAACATACTGAAAACATAAACAAGCAAAAAAAATAATTATAAATTTAAAACAAAAGAACAAAAATAACAAACCTGCGGATTAACTGGAGCAAACAACCGCTTTAGAGGCCTCTTGCCATAAGAGCGGCTATTGTTTCTGTCAAGCTCTGAAAATTGCTTAACTTTGTTACCTCTCCATGCTAGAATCCGGGGCTTGACATCAGGGACAGAATGGAGACCGAAATTAAGTTGGTCAAGGTAACAAACCTATAAACAACCACGCAAGAAAGAGATTAAAGGAAATAACATAAAAAAACTTAAAATAAAAGTAAAGAACAAGAACAAGACTTACAGCAAAAGCATAGTGACAACCACCAGACGTCACTGATCTTTTAGAAGCAACTTTAGTGGAATTCTTGAACTTTTTGATGCTGCTCAACAACCACTCATAAACATATCCGGACAGATCATAGTTGCACACAGAAGAACAATCCCTGAAAATATGCAGGTACTTCGGGCTAGGACTGAGGCTAGAGTTGGGACAAAGGAATGAGGACAACGCAACAATCATGAAGCAAATGGAAATGTCTTCATCAGACAACTCGACTTCGGTGGATTTAAGCTTGCTGGCGAAGAAAGAGACAGGAGGAATACTAGAAACATTGAAGTGAGACAGGATAAAATCACGTCCAGACTCAGGATCAGACACAAGTGGCTCACCATCTACTGGGAGGTCAAGGATATCATGGATATCATACTTGGTCATTGGGATAAATTTCCTTTCGAACTGGAATTCAGATGAAGGGACATCAAACCTACTAGCAAGCCACTTCACTAGCCTAAGGGGAACCTCGGTCCTAACAAAGTTTAAGAGACAGCCCATGCCGTATGTCTGGATGACATTCTGATACCTAGGACACATTCCAGCAACAACACCAGAGAACAACTTCCCAGAATATCTAGTGAAAGTGGCACAAGTGGGGAAATCAGTAGATCGTTTCTGCCTCTACAAAACAACAAAAGGAGAGACACAAATGAAAAACATAGGATAGAACTGAAACCAATAAAACTAAGAAAATACACAAGGAAGAAAACATTAATACATTCAGATTACAACAGTACTTAAATAAAAGTACACAACTAACGCATAAACAACACAACTACGGTTGAAAACTCTGAAAACCAAACTTCTGTGGTTACCTTTGTATTACAGAAGAACAACAAAACTACGGAGGACAGAAAACATTACATGCTACCAAGGTAAATTACATATAAAATATACTACATGAAGCTATCATCTGGAAAAGCAAAAACTAACATTATATGAGAGCACGAAAATACAGGACATTTATACAGATATGGGGAACTAACCACATTCCTCCTAGAAGCAGATGATAGTTTCCTCTTTAAGCATTTTACTTTCTGAAATGACAAAAAACACAAATGTCACCAAAAAGAAAAAAGCCAAATTAACAAAAGAAAGAAAGAACTAAAAAGAAAAGAAAGAACATACTTGATTGAGATAGAACTTCAAAAGAGCCTTGTCGAACTCTCCTTCATCTCGAGATAGATCCTGCAAACAAAGAAGAAATAAAACAGACCAAAAAAATAATTAAATCAAAGCTAAAAGATAAAGAAATTAAACAACAAAGAAAAGAAACATAAATAAGTAACTACCGGAGACACAGGATGAGAATCATCTTCTGCAAAATCATTAGGCACAAAAGCTTCATCCAGTGAATCTGCACTCTCTAAAGATGATACTAATGGAACATCCTGATGAGACACTTTCCGTAGCCTACCCATTTAAACCTGTAAATGGAACATAAAATTACACTGAGACTACAATCAAATTACACTGAAAAACCCACTCAAATTACACTGGAATTAAAATGGGTACACTGCACTGTAAAGTTAAAATAAATTACACTGAAACTACAATCAAATTACACTAAAAAATCCACTGGAATTAAATGGGTACACTGCACTGTAAAGTTAGAATAAATTACGCTGAAACTACAATCAAATTACACTGAAAAATCGACTTAAATTACACTGGAATTAAAATGGGCACACTGCACTGTAAAGTTAAAATAAATTACATTGAAACTACAAATCAAATTACACTGTAAAATCCACTAAAATTACACTGGAATTAAATGGGTACACTGCACTGTAAAGTTAGAATAAGTTACACTGAAACTACAATCAAATTACACTGGAAAATCCACTAAAATTACAGTGGAATTAAAATGGGTACACTGCACTGTAAAGTTAAAATAAATTACATTGAAACTACAAATCAAATTACACTGTAAAATCCACTAAAATTACACTGGAATTAAATGGGTACACTGCACTGTAAAGTTAGAATAAGTTACACTGAAACTACAAACAAATTACACTGGAAAATCCACTAAAATTACACTGGAATTAAATGGGTACAATGCACTGTAAAGTTAGGATGAACTACACTGTAAAATCCACCAAAATTACACTGGAATTAAATAAGTAAATTACACTTAAAAGTACGAAATGCTGGGATGAACTACACTGTGAGAAAATCCACTCAAATTACACATAAAATCTGGGACAGGTTATGCTGCAAGACTGAGACAAATTACATTACAATGCAACAAATGAGATAAAATCACAGTGGAATTAAAACGGCTAAAATACACTTAAAGTCTGTAAATCTGAGATGAATTACACAATAAAACTGACATAAAGTTACCATGAAAATCTGGGAAAATTACACATAAAACTACACTGCAATTACAATAAAAAATCACCCTAGAAATTCAGGGTTAATTACACTATACAAACTGGGAGAAATTAGCCCTGTAAGACTACAAAACTGATATTACACTGGAAGTCTGTGACGACACTGAAAAGGTCTGATCAAACAATTGACAACACTGAAAAGGGCCGAGCCAAAAGTACACAGAAATTAAACTTAAAATTCATTCCTGCTAGAAGAAAAACAAACACGGTACAAAGGAGAACTACACCTCCAACAACAAATCAGGAGCCTAATTCATTTGAATACAAAAAAAGAGCTTGACACGAGCACCTAGCATCTACCAGTACATGAGCAAGGGCAAGAGCAGGAAAACACGCAGAAGCATCAGGGAGCATCCCGACACGAGCAGGAACGAGCTAGACATCTACCAGTACATCTACAACATCCCGCATGCTACAACTACAGACATCCGCCAAGCTACATCTACAGAATCCCCATCAGCTACAGGAACATGAGCAGCTACAAGTACATGAGCACCTACAGATCGCCCTCTCACCTACAGGAACATGAGCACCTACAGGAACATCTACAGAAACATCTACAGAATCCCTCGCGCCTACAGGAACACGAGTACCTACAGGAACATCTACAGATCGCCCTCTCATCTACATGAACAGCTACATCTCCACAGACAAAAGGGGGACAAAGCCGCTGCATCTACAAACTACAACAGTACAAACAGCAGCGCGCGCGGGACGACCACAACAACCAGAAGCCTAGCAATCTAGCGGCTGCACCACATGTGCGAGAGGGCGACATGAACTGACCTAGATCTGGGACGAACAAGAGCAGAACAACACAAGCGCGCGACGGGGAGAGAGAGAGAGGAACAACCAACCGCGACACCGGGGAGCGAAGGGGAAGGGGAGAGAAATCAAGCTCGAGTGGGGGAAGGTCTCGAAATCGCCATGGACGGGGAGAATCGCCTCCTGCTCCGCCGCTCGAGCTCCCCCTCAGCCTTATCCAAACAGAGAGGACGAAATGAAAAGGGAGGAAAGGCACGCTACCCCAAATTCAAACGAGACAAAAATCAGAGCCGGCCGGGCGCGGCGATAACGGGCACAGAGAAAACCGCACAACACAAAAAAACCGGACCCGGCAACAAGACCAGCACGAATCTCCGCGCAAGAACGGACGGACAACGACTTGAATGTTGGCGAATTGCAAAACAGTCAGCTGTAAAATAGCAAAACCGTAAAACAAAGATATCAATCTAATTTAGAAAGGAAGGAATACACTTGATACTGAATAGAAATCTAACTCACAGTAGAAATCTATTTAAAATCAGAGTAGTTATCAGGTAAGCAATACATAAGGTGGAGCTGTGGGCTGATATAGGAAGGAATATTGTAACGCCCTCGATGCGGCTATATCTCCCACGTGTCGAAGCACGACTTAGAGGCATAACCGCATTGAAAGCAATGTCGCAAGTGAGGTAATCTTCACACAACCCATGTAATACATAAGGGAAAGAGATACATAGTTGGCTTACAATCGCCACTTCACACAATTACATGAATAAAGCATTACATCATCCAAATACAATCAAGGTCCGACTACGGAACCAAAATAAAAGAAGAACCCCAAATGCGACAAAGGTCCCTGATCGACCCCAACTGGGCTCCACTACTGATCAACTAGACGAAACAACACAAAGGGCAAGATCTTCATCGAGCTCCTCCTTGAGTTTGGTTGCGTCACCTGCTCGGTAACATAGGCACCTGCAAACTGGTTTTGGAAGTAACTGTGAGCCACGGGGACTCAGCAATCTCGCACCCGCGAGATCAAGACTATTTAAGCTTATAGGAAGGATGGAGTAATGAGGTGGAGCTGCAGCAAGCGACTAGCATATATGGTGGCTAACATACGCAAATGAGAGCGAGAAGAGAAGGCAAAGCACGGTCGATAAAAGTATGATCAAGAAGTGATCCTATAGCAACCTACGTCAAGCATAACTCCAACACCGTGTTCACTTCCCGGACTCCGCCGAGAAGAGACCATCACGGTTACACACGCGGTTGATGTATTTTAAATAAGGTCAACTTCGGGTTTTCTACAACCGGACGTTAACAAATTCCCATCTGCCCATAACCGCGGGCACGACTTTCGAAAGATAATACCCTGCAGGGGTGTCCCAACTTAGCCCATCACAAGCTCTCACGGTCAACGAAGGAATAGACCTCCACCCGAGACGTTCCGATCAGACTCGGTATCCCGGTACAACAAGACATTTCGATAGGGTAAAACTAAACCAGCAACACCGCCCGAATGTGCCGACAAATCCCGATAGGAGCTGCACATATCTCTTTCTCAGGGCACACTCAGATGAGCAATCCGTATAACTAAAACCAAACCTCGAGTTTCCCC